GATCAATATGCAACTGATACAGATTTACAATTAGATCATTGCTTCTATCAGTAGTGGAGATGGTGAATGTTAAGAGAGCATGGGAACTGAAAGCTCGAGAACATTTTCAGAGCCTACTGATGGAGTCATCTCATTTTCTGAATTTCCCAGCCACAGAGATAAAGCTGCTGAAGTCACATTGCCAAATTTCCTGGCTGTAAGCCCCCTTTTCAAAAACTTTAGTAAATACTTCAGATTAAAACAACAACAACAACAACAGCAACGAAACAAGCACTTGCCACACACATGAACACAAAATATATGAGGAACTGCTATGAAAGCAGTCAGGTTGAAAGCTTTCCTTTATGGTTGCTTCTTACTCCACTCTGGAGAAACGGTCACCTCAGCCAACAGAAGATGATTGTCTGCTGTTTTCTGTGCAGAATACTTATATTTTAGTTTTAAAACAATAACAATAATATGAAAGTATTTTCTTTTGAATCTTCACAGTGAGGAATAAATTAATGAAACTTCATATAATTGTTTGTATTAATTCTTAATTGTTATGACATTTATAATCTTAACTGCTAAAAAATGTGTATAGAGGAAACAGCCTTAAAAAAAAAAAAGCTGTGATCTAGATCCTTCGTGAAGTTTTTAAACTGAATATATCAAAATCAATGTAACTTTTATTATATTTTATGTCTCTCTGAATTTGTTCAGTATTCATTTCTGACATGAAAACTAGAATAATCCTACCAGTCAGTTTAATGCTATGGTCAGGTTCACATTAAATGTAATGTCTCTGATGGCAGTTGTAAGTGGGGAAACTGAGTCTTGACAAAGGGATGATGCAGTCAGTGTATTTGTGCAAATAAACTGAAAAGTGCTCTAGCAGCACATGCACACTCTGCAAACCCCATCGTGCTGAGTTCTTGCAGTGAGTCAGATCTCACACAGAAGGCTCTGGAGTTTTTTTTGGTAAAGCCATAACCTGTCCTGTCAGACATCAGTAGCTTCATTTGACAGCCATAATGTTCCTACTTTGTCATGATTTGGGACAGCATTGCTCCAGTGGCTAGTAAACATGTCAGTGAATTGTAACAGCAATTGAAAAGAACTGGATGTACAGATGATTAAAACAGCAAGCTAAAAATATGAGAGAAATCAGTGTATATTTAACAATACCTTGTAAAAGCCAGCATCACATAATGCTGAGCTGTCACAAGCTTCTTACAAGCAGTGACATTTTAAAAAAGCCCTGTCCAACCCTATTCCTAATTACTCTGCAGAATGCTTGCTTTTCCCTTTGCCCTTTTCAATCAGACTGGCATTAATAAAATAGGGATAACAGTGAAAAATGTACAGTAGAAGAAGGAAGAAAGTTTGTAATCCCAGTTTCTAATGATTTCTCGATACAAGAAGGTCTCTGCATTATGAATGTTACATTATTTTTTAAAATTCTTGGATTTCTCATTGGCCACATTAGCAGTTCTCCCATAGGGATATTATGATCAATAGGGTTCTGAAGACAATCAGTAAATGTGTCTTGTTGAACAGGATGACTTTCAGAGACTCCTACCAATCTCAACCATTTGGTGTTTCTGTGATGTGTGGACTGTTGAAAAAGAGAATTTAATTAAACATATCCAACATTAATGACAAATAGAAAATTATTATTTTAGAATAAAATGTTCCCTTTCCATTTAAATTTCACAAATGGCAAAAATTTTGTAGTTTAAGTGACCTCCATATATGATGATCTTTCAAAGTGTAGAGTTCTTTGAGAAGATTGTAATATCTTGAAATGTTTCACTTTGAAGGAAAATTTGCCCTAGGATAAATCATGTCATTTGATATAATTATACAGAACCAGTGCTTACTGTTATTATCTGATTATTAACCTCCACATGAGCTATTTACATCTCAGTCTTTAGTAATCAGCATAATGATTACCTGCCTGTTGTGGTAATAATTAAGTAGAAAAGCCAGCAACAAAATAATGAGATTTCTAATATTCTTTTTAGCTCAAATGTAACAAGCATGGAGTGTAATAGTGGGTCTTGAATATAATGTGATTGAGATTGATTTTTACAATGTCTGATTTTCTTCACTTAGGTATTTGTTATCAAGGGGAGGGAAACTAAAAATTTTTAGGAGCAAAGTAAACTAAAAGGTCTCATTATAATGTGTAGGACTTGCATGCTTCACATGGCATGCCAGAGCATGTGAAGATTACCAGCAATTGAGCTGTGCTCATGCCATTATTCACATGCATCTTAATGCCATAGGCTGTCCAGTAGGTCCTCGTTGGTGTGAAATGTCACCCCTCTTATTCAGTTGGTGGCACTGCAGCAATTTGCACCAAATAACTGGTAGCAACAAAAAAAAATTTTGTAATCAATAAATTCAATCATCTTAGATTTTTTCCAGCCACCTGAATTTGCGGGTGTACATTGTTTATTCTGATGAGGGTGATGCTTTCATTTAGAATCAGAATAATATTGTATAGGGATGATGCTGGTTGCAGAGTGGTCTCCAAAGTAACATGACAGAGTTTTGCTGGCTATGGGCATTGGAAACGAAATTCAATAATGCTCTAAGAAATTTACTGCGGGCTACTAATACTGTAAATGTGCTAGTACAGCATATGGAGCTAATCTGAAAATACTGAAGCATGAGCTCATTTTCACTTGAGTAGTCCTGTGGGACTACCATCTCAAATTCATCTGGAAACCTGCAGCTGGTATATGTTTTGGAAGATTACCTGTAAGTGTTGGTTTTGCCAGCGTATTAAACCATTGCTGTATTGCATTAATGGTCTGAAATTAATCCCAAATTACAGATTTTTCACTGTTATATTATATTCTGCTTTTTTGCTTGAATTCACATTTTGATGAGTATATAAAACACAAAGAGTTACTCTTATAATACTAGCATTCTGTTTGTTTTCTTTGAGTTTCCTGCATTTTGTTTGTAGTTATCTACCATAAACTACTTTTCATCTAAAGGGAAGTCAAAGAAACACCTTCAAGCCACATTAAGGATATCTACAGAAAGACTTTTATCTCCATTTTGATAATGAGATACCCTAATCATGCAAATAGTTGGCACTACTTGCTTCCTTTTTTTAAGAAGTAATTTTATATATGCCTTCCTTCCTCGCTTCTTCCCTTCCTTCCTTCCTTTCCATCTTTCTGTCTTTCTTTCCTGGGAAAACTAGCTTCATCTGAATCAGTTTTTAACTAATACCTCACGTTTTCCTTTAATGCTTCAAACATATTTACATTGCTTAATTGTATTTCTGTTTAAAATCTTCCATTGCTTTTGATGAGTTCAGTCTTACAGATTATGGTATAGTCATGTTAGTTATTTACAAACATATTCTATGTGCAGGCAAAAAAAGTATATGCTAAACATTAATAAATTATGACATAATCTTTAAAAATCAAAATCTTTGTTGCATTAGAACATCTTCCTGAAGGAAAAGGATAGAAAAACTTAAGCTATCCGTGGATTAATAACATGAAGGCTTTAGTATTCTTACTTGATTTTGGTTGTGACCCCTTTGAAATATTGATTGCTTCTGATCATTTTCCGGCTCTGCTCTGAGCCATCTCTTTCATCAGTGCTCTGAATGCTGGATGGAACACTCAGCAAGTCCAATGCAAGTTCTCCCCTGAAGGTTTTCTCATCTGGTTTTGTTCTGTTTTTGTGTAATTTCATTTGAGTATTAAATGTTCATGTGTTTTATTTTTATGCAGATGGGCATTTGGGGATGTTTTGGTTTTCTAGTGGTGAATAGTATTGAAAGCCTCAGCTCTGCAGTAATAGCGTAAGCAGTTTGTGATAATTTCAGCATGGCTAGTGAGGCCTATCCAGAAGTTATTGTATGACTGAGGCCAAAAGGAGGAACAGAAGTTATTTGATGTATGCATTAAGGAATATGCACCACCAGCTCTATTATGAAGTCCTTTGATGCTGCAAATCTAACTTTACAAGTATGAGTAATTCACTGATGATAACGGACCCACTTGTGTGTTTGTTTTTTCTGGAATGAAAGTTTATGTCTATGTCCTCAGTCACATTGAGGTTCCTTGGAAGAACATCGTAACACGCCTTTCATCTGTCAGAACAGCAATCCTTGCATAAATACTTTATTAGAAGATCTATGTCTTTGAACAGAAGGGAATTGCATCTTCTCCTTTTCATGGATGCATGTTTTACAACCATGATTAAACCCTCTGTTAGTGTTTTCTAAGCAAAGCAGATATAGTTTTCCTCAATGAAGAAAAAATACGGGGCTCTAAGAATGAGTTTAAAGGATATCATTGTCTGTGATGTGTGAAATCTTGGAGAAGAGAGAGTAGGCAAAGATGGGAGTAACAGTTTTTATTTCTTAACCCTATTTTTTTAAAAACGTGTAGTTAAAGATGAAAATGTTTACAGACAAGATTATACTCCAAAAAAAGCCTCAGTAGATTGAAATGAAGATGTGCTAATATCTAAGATTATTTTTGAATACTTTTTTTTTTTTTTTTTTAAGTATTACTCTATCAGCTAAATATAGTTCAGATTTTTACATTTTTATAGACCGTGTGAGTTCCCTGCAGGCACACTGTCTCTGCAATGATTTATATAGTTAGAATTATAGGGGATGATAAGCATTTGCTGTTCAATAGTGTAGTTAATGCTCAGCCCCTCGGGTAACAGAGCAGTGAAGCATTTACTACTCAGTGGTAGTTCTGCAACAATCAGCAGCAGTGTGACTCTATCACAGTAAATTTACATCGATACACTTCATCCTCAGGGAATTGAGCATTCACTCAGCATAGCCTAGGGAAAACAACTAGAATGGACCTTTTCCAGTTCTTTTGGGTGGCACAGCGGGAAAAGTTTATTAGTGTAGCTGAATCAGAAACAGAAATCACAGATGGTATGACATGAAAATTATTTAACTTCTATTTTCTCTCCTTTTTTTTTTTTTTTCTTTTCTTTTTTTTTTTTTTTTTTCCAAACAGTACAAAAATAAAAATTTGAACTGGAAAGAGATTGGAAAGGTGAAAGTTGCGAAGATGCCGTAGTGGCAAACCCACTACAGTTCTGATGCAGATGCCAAAGGCTCTGTGCCCTTCAATCCCATTATTAGCAGGAACCTCCTTTCTCAGGTACCTGTGTATTTTCTGTGTATAGGTGAGCTTACTGATGCTGTAGCTATATAACACTATTGTTGACTATGATTAGAAAATAGCAAAAGCTGCGTGAGTCAAACAATAATAGCTCTTCTCTTGCAGTTTATTTTTCTTCAGTAGACATGAAAGCATTTTATAAATGAATACAGTACCATCTACATATAAAAATTTGGGAAACTCGAAGCAGAAGGAGGCTCCAGGAGTTGGCCACAGTCCTTCAGCAAGACTGTGACAGAGTAAAAATACAGGGGAGGTTCCCAGGGTGTCTGCTTAATGCTTTAACCACTGCAGTCAGCACTGCCCTCTCTCTCTGTAACACACCTGGAAGCCTCCAGCTGCTGTACAGCCTGCAGCATGAGTAAGGACTGACAAAGTATGTTTTTGCTCTTGTAGGATATGAAAGAAGAGGCAGAGGAACCTACAGCAGGCAAGGCAAGCTTTAGCCTAGAACATGCAGTGAGAAAGTGAGAAGCAAGATTTCTCTAAGTACTCTGTCCCCATGGATGCCTCTGTGATTGAAAGACGACTTCAGTGAACTGAAGAGGCATGACTCTTCAGTGACAGAATCTATAGGTAATGAATGTTAAATCTATGCTGTGTTTTTAAGCCTGACTGATCATACAGTAGAGAGCCAGCAAGTACATCTGTAGGCACAGCTTAGTGCAGTCTCAGGACAGGCAGATCTCTGTATCTGTACATTTGGAAGTATATGACAGCACAAAAGTGCCTGACAGGCTGTCTGTGAGGCTTCAAGCTGAGGGCAAGGCAGGTTTCCCAAAGATGCCTGTAGTATGCCTTGTGCTTGCCTGCGTGCTGCAGTGTTGAAATAGCATAGGGTCATGCAAAGAGCATTGATAATGGCAGTGACTGAGGGGAAAAAAAAAAAAAAAAAAGGCATGATTTGTGTTGGAGTTGTGAAGACAGAGCTGATGACATGTTCTGGCAGTGATGAGAATATAACACTATCCTGTGGTTATGAGCAATTAAAAAGTAGCTTGATGCCATTGAGTTTGTTTGGGATTCAGCACACACAGAAAAGAGTAGTAATAGCTGTAAAGCTCTTAAAGAGCAAGAATACAGTGAGTAATTAAAAAAAAAAAAAAAAAAAAAAGAAAGAGGCAGAATAATATTCTCAGCAGCTATGTGGTACAGGTAACTGACCCATTCCTTCACCTGAAGCTAAAAAATGAGCCTCGTGGAGAGAGTGGTTGTAATACCTGAATAAGTTCAGTACTGATATCAGAAGGAAATGGAGATTAATGAAGGATTCATTACGTCAGGATTCAGAATCTCATCTCGAAAAGTAGGAGAGGAGCAGCTGTGGAAAGAAGATACGGTATTAACATTGTAAGTCTCAGTGCAGACATATGCAGTACAAAGAAATCTGTATGGCCTGTATGGCTTTATCTCTGATAAAGCATTTACGTCTGCTGTTACCTCAATCCTCTTTCCTGCATCACAGTATGCCTAAGGCAATAGGAGTGCACTGAGGCATAATGTGGAGTTACACAATGCAAATAAAGGCAAGGATGTCAAACAGAATATATATTATAAGTGATAGTGTGTGTGATTGAGAGTGGATGTTTCCAACTGAAGGGAAATAATATTTCTTTAAGCTCTATGAAACTAGAGAAGAAGTCAGTGATTCAGTCAGAGAAGCACTGTAGCAGATTGCTTTTATAAGCTCTTTCCAGAGCAGAATCACATATGGAAACAATTGCGGGTAACATGCAGTAAAATATATTCCGCGGAATAATCCCATGCTAGCAGAGATTGAACTAGACAGTTTAATAAGCCTTCCATCCTTAATTTCTCTCTGCCTATGATTCTTTCAGATGAAACCATTTAATTTTATGTCTTCTATAGCTTTAGAAATATCCAATACCTTCTGATTTACAGCTTGACCTGTGTATAACAAAGTCCAGGTTGCTTGGGAAAGAAAAACACCCTAACCATAACAACATATTTCAGATACAATCAACTTCAGACCCTCATTTATATTTATTTATTTATTTGTTTACTGTATCTGTGGAATGAAATATACTGCTTGGAAATACTGTAGTGGCCAGCCTCCCTTAGAACTTTATTAAATCCTCGTATTGAGAAGGTGAAGAGAAGTAAAAATGATGTAAAAATATGATGGGAAATATAAGATACGTAGAAATTGTACAAAAAACGTTTGGGTGAAACCAACCTCATCTTTTAACTGTGTTATTAAGGGATGGTATCATAGCATCAAATGAGCTGTACATTTTGGGTGGCTACCAAAGATTGGAGATGCTTCAGAGCCTTCAATGGACAATATGTAACTTTTGTAGGTTTGCAATATTTCACATGATGTGGATCCAGAGAAAACAGTCCATTTCTTTGGAGCACCTCTGAATTTCTCATCTGCATTGGGAATCATTGGCAAGCTAAATCTCTGATACCTGAAGCCCCAGACTGGCACTAGCTGGAAAAGAGATAAGTGTTTGGTCTCATCCCATATCTAATGTCTAGTAGACATCTAAATCTTAAACAAGAAGAATCACCTTCTGAAAATATTGCTTTGTTAACTATTCTAGTCTTTGAGAGTGGAGACACATGGGCACTTCTGTAGGCTGCTTTATACCATTGTCTTTCATAAGAGGAATGTCTTCAGATGACCAAGAGTAAATCTTATCCTTCACGTTTAAATAGGTGAAGTCTGATGGGATGAATTTCAACCCACAACTGAAATACTTACAAATTTTTCCTGAAAAAAGAACGGAGTAATTTAAGAAATGGCTAGGAAGTCTGAAGTCCGTGATAAAATCGTGTTAGGCTTCAAGGCTTCAATAGCTAGCATTCTTGCCAGTCCAAATATGAGGAAAAATATAAAGCTAAATATTTGTAATATTTATGAAAATCTTTCAAAAATACTCTCATACATACAGGAATACTGTTTGGGGAAGATACCTTATCAACAAGATAAGACTATTGACTGTTAAAAGAGTAGCACAATAAAAGCAATTCATGTGAAATATTAATAGGGGAACTAATTAGAGATGAGATGGAGTGAGCTGTAATTATATGTATGTCAAACCCAAAACAGGAAGAAAAATGTCCTTTCCCCCCAACTAAGAAAAGTACTTGTGTTCAGCAGCATGCTGAAAGCTATGCTTATCAAATGAAAGCATTGATAAGCAAAGAAATAATCTATCTATTTAAAAATGAGTACTCAGAATTTTTAGAAAGATACAAGGGGGAAGGGGAGGGAAGGAGGAAGAAAAAGCAAAGAATAGGTTGGCTTTGATTCTGAAAATTATGCAACTTTCTATTTTTAGCAGAATATAAAACAGTGTAGGGACTGATAATGCATAATTGAATATAAATCAATTTTCATTCCAGATGCAATACCAGGTTTTGGCAAAATTTGCTTGGATATCTGAGAGGTTCTTTGTGAGACATGATTTTATCAATTGCAGATGTACCAGTAAGTTAGTTTCACTCTGACTGTCTAAAACCAGGCAAAGTAGTGTTGATTCTTCATGAAGTAAATATGCAAAAGGTAAATGACTGGACATATGATAGTGTGATTTCATCTATCTTTAAAAGTTTGCTAGATCTTATTTAGTAACCCAGTTGAACCTGAATTGGAATAGTAAAATGTGTCTACGTAGGCCTGTCCAAAAGTAATGTACCTATTTATTTCCATTGAAACTACAATAGAGACAAAGAGCACTACAACACTATTTGATAGAGGAAATTCTCAGCTACTGAACAAAATTTTTCAGTGCCTTCACCAGCATTAGCCAATTCATGTGGAGGAACTGATTGAAACACTTCATTTCTTGGTGTGACAGCTGTGCATGGCTGTCTGGATCATGGCTTTTATTTCATGCCACTGTCACCACTACTGAAATGCACCCCCTTACTGTGCTGACATCAACCATTTAGTCTCAATAATTGTTCACCAAGCATTGATGAATGTCAATGGGTGCTATTTTTTCCACACAGAGGGATTCGGAGAGACACCTTTGCTTCATAAACACTTCAATGTCAGATACCATTTTGTCAGACTAGCACTCTGCTGCCGTCTGTCACACAGAAATAACATGTGTTGGAATACTGGGGGAAAAGAACAATTTCTACTGCCATCCCACCAGAATCTGCTCCTGATGTCATGGGCCAACATAATAAAATAGGAGGCATTACTTTCGGAGCAGCCCTTGTATTATAGGCATAATCCCATGAACTACAGAACACCCAAGCTCTGTTCTGAGTAAGCAGCAAACAGTTTATTTTAAGACTGGATTTAAATCTTCAGTATTTGTAAGCATCATCCCTGTGGGGGCTGACAGCAGTGACTGCCCGAACTCACATCCGAGGGTATGCGTGCAGTGGTGTGGAAAGTCCTTATTCAGTGTCCTGTGGGTTTGGATCCATTTGAATGGAATTTCAAACAGTGCATAGTCAAGAAGGAAAGCCAGCTTATCCAGCCACTTAGCAGCATTGATTGAAATCTTGGTGTAGGCACTACTTGAACTGAGATTTGCCAAATATAGATAGTATGTCAACTACTAATGCCAAAAATTTGTTTACAATAACACAGTGATACAATAAAAACCAAGAACAGAAGTTTTACCTTAAGATTAATTTGAAAAGACTTTAAGAACTGTGTTTACTGCTGAACATATCCTAGGGATACATAACCCTTAACCTCAGTCCTACTAGACAAGCCACACGCTAACAAGCTGGAGGAACTCCACCTGGCCTCAGCATTAGGAACTTCATGGGAAAATAAATGTGGGATGATGTTACTTTTGTTTGATGTTCCAACATGAAACACTCAGAGGCGGCATGCTCTAGCAGTTGAATTAGCAGTGGAAAAACTCAGTAATATGCTTGCATTTACTCTCAGCTGTTTGAGTGTGCTATTATTACATGGTGTACAATATGATCCAGCTGTCCTCAGTGCCTGAATGTGACCCAATCATAAATTATTGTATAAATGGCTTGGATAAGGATCCTATAATATTTATTGAAAGAATACCACATTGGAATTGTGATGTTCATGCTACATATGATTTCATCTTCATGTATGGTACAGATGGTTGGTAATTTGTACTTCCTTTTCCCAGAATAGCAGATCAGAATTTGTGGCTGGGTCCCAGAATGAAGTTACAACTTCAGTGGTAAGGTAACAGATGAAAAAGACGATATATTTGTACTTGAAAATTATGTCTTTACCTTCATCACAGTACTGTGGTCCACCCATACTGCAGACTTGACTCTCCAGAGGTCCCTTCCAGCTGCTACAATTCTCTGATTCTGCAAAATCATTTCATTCAAGAGAAAGTGAACTGACAAAAAGGTAAGTATCATGGTTGGTTTCTTTTTCTCACTTCTGATGTGTTTGTACTGAGTTTTCTTTGTGGTATCTGAAAATAGCTGATATATGTGTGGTTTGGATGTTCTGTAAAGATTGATTTTATCTTTCAGTCCTCTTAAATACACTAGTAATGTAAAACAAACAACTCAAAACAGATTTTCCAAAATAAATAGCAGTACCCTGTGTTTCTTTTGAATTCAGTAATTTACTACAACCCAAATCAAGTTCAGCAAGTTCTCTAAACCTGATAGAGACTGTTCTCTCTATAATGGTAATTAAGTTTGGACCTTGCCAAAATTCATATTCATAAATGAGACAGAATTATCTGGCTTCTCCTAACACCCTATGTTACTGTGCTGGAAACCATCTATTTCCAGTGCAGCAGTATATTTTTACCTGTAGCTTACCAACCCTACATACTGTCTGCAGCTGATATATACACTTCCATATTTAATGTTACAAATTTTCCTGTGAGAGTAAGATTGATTTAAGGTATATCTGCATCCAGAAAATGTAGGGGGTCATTGACCAGACTAATTTTCAAAGTGTTGCTACAATCAGACACGTGTTAAAAGGTTATTTTACTTACTGAAAAATTATGACTCCCCTGTTTTGAGACTTTTTTTTGAGAAGTGAAAGTGTCTCTCTTAATGCAAGAATGGATCTTCTCAATAGTAGTGCAGTTAAACCTTGGATTGTGATTAATCTTAATACTGAAAAGAATTTAGAATTATAAGCTTCACTATTGTGTTCAGGATGTAAGTAGAGGCAATCAGTGTGATTGCTTAAAATAGCCCAGTTTCCATTTTCCAATGGGAGTAGCATTCAAAATTCATCAATAGTGTGGGCATGTGTTACTCAGCCAAGTAATCACCATAGTCTTTTTAGGCAGTTAAAATTAAATTTCAACATGCTGTATTAAATTCTCACTAACAGAGTGTTGGACAAGCTTCTTATACAAAGAATGTATAACGTGTTAATGAATAAATCCAAATGCAAACTCATTATCTTAAGATGACATAGCAGAAGCATGAAAACAGTTAAGTTTTTTCCCTTAGGATGACAACTTCTCAATTATAAGCAGAGCACTGGAAGATATGCTTAGGAGGCAGATCTTTCAGATGAGCTAATTAAGAATGTTCTAGCATTTTTTGTGTTTGTATGCCCCAGTGAACAACACTATTGAGGCAGAGGGAACTAGGCAATTGTTAAGTACCATTCACAGATCGTTCAGGTGGTTAAGTTCCGTTCCAGGACAATGTTTCAAACTCAGCATGGAAGCATTTAAATCAGTATAATTTTAGAAGATAAAATAAAAAAAGCAAAAATCTCTTGAAGGCAAGTCGTACCACCTAAAGGAGAAATGCAGCTATCCTCTTTAAATTGAACGTACTCATTTAGAAAAAATTAGATTCAGTTAAATGTTTAAAGTAAGATTTAGAAACCAGAGTGTTCAGAATACTTTGGTCTGCAATTCAAGAATAAGATTTTAAGTCTTTTTTTTTTTTTTGTCTATGCTACATTTACACTTGAAGCGTTGAGTCTTTCATATTAAATATCCATGTACTCATCAAAGCAAATCCCACTGCTTATGTTAGTCCATTATTTTCTCTCAATATTTTGCTGCCTGACAAGAACTGATTGATATCATTAGAATGACCTAAAGCAGTAATCTCAGATGATGTATTCATCTGTTCAGGAGCTGAAAACACACAAATACAAACATTTTGTTTTGATAATAACTCTTTTTATTCTATCTTACGAGCAGTAATATTAACAATCATGTAACAGAGCTGCAGATCTATAGCCTTCAGTATACAAAATTTCACAGCTACCTTTTCCTTTGTAATATGAAAACTCAAACTTGCAGGGTAAATGTCTCTTTACTCTCTGTGTATAGGGTAAGAATGAAGTATTTGCAATTAGGTGGAAAACTGTCCAGAATATATTGTACATATATGCATGCATATATGCATGTCATGTGCTTTACAGAGATAGAAATAAAAGCAATTGATCATTCCAGGAAACGTGTCAAAAAAACCATACAGGAAATTATACCATATATATGTGTTTTTTTTTTTTACTTTTGTTTAATATAGCAAAGTTAACTTACTCAGTCTTGTTTTATTATCAAGATGCACATCAGTCAGACGTGCCATTAAAATTTAGTGGTTTTCAGAATGGAAAGAAGAATGAAGTCCCATTATTTGCCAGTAGTCACAGATCTATTTTGCTCATAGTATTTCTAAGCATGTACTTTCTATTGGCAAAGAAAGCATTTTGATTGGCTTGAAAGCTTAATATGCTCCCATGAACTTTTTATGACTTAATCATTAGAAATAAACTGCTTCATGATCTCTGTTACTTGATGCAAGTCTATTGTTTTTTTTACAGTTCACCCTTATTCCAGGAAATTGAAATGTCTCGCTGGCAAACCAGCAAAAATACTTTTGCAGTCATTTAGTAGCTGCAGAAAATAGCTTATCTGAATCAAGCTCTTGAAATTTAAACAATTAAATTTGGCAGTTTTCTGTTCTGAGACAAGCAGTTAACTAGTGTTGATGTTAATGAGACTCATTTCTTGTCCCTCAGTACATGGGTGAGTGTTTGTCCCTGCAATATAAATTCCTCTAGTAGCTTTTGAAACCACTGAGTAGTTAGCTTAAAAAGAACATCTCACATGTATTCATGCAAGTAATTACTAAACTTTATGAAAAAAGCCATTTAGAAGACAGAGAATTAGTGTTCCTTTTCTAGAGGAAAAAAAATAATAATTGGACTGCTTTTATTAGTAGGTACCAGAGTCTCTTTTGAAGGGAGATGATTCAAGCATGATGGCAGAGGGAAGGCTCAGTCAAACCTTGGACCACTGTGGAACCAGGCCACAAGATCCAAACTGGAGAGTGCCAGGTCTGCCAATATGATCACAATTCTTATTGCGGTTAACAAGGATGTTTTCCAGGGGGTTGCTTGGATCCTGGCAGAATTCCATGGACACCTCCGAAGAGCTGAAGTTTCCCATTCCTACCTTGTAAAAATGGAGAATTTCTCTACCAAGATGCTCTTTTGTTTTCCTGTGAATCATAAGCCTAATGAAACAATGTTAGCAGATGAAATGGAAATTGTAGTGCAATTAAAGTCTTAATAATGGAGTAATCATGGGATTATGTAAGAAATCACACAGGATCATGAAAAGAGAATAAAAGCTATTAGAATGGCAAATTGCATGGATGTATGAGAGGCATTACTTCAATTCCTGATTTTACATTGAACTCCAGTTTGATGCCAGAAATTAATTCCTACTTTTCCAACTTTAACCCAAGTCCTTGTTTGGTAAATGTGAACTATGTGTAAGTATGGGAAAAATGCCACGGATTTGTTAAGTCTTGACATCAAATTTAAAGGAAGTGATTTGCTTGTCTGCAATACCTGTCACATTTTGACTTCATTGTTTCTGATGATGAAAAGTGGCAAAGGAAACTTCGTAGTCAAAATGCCAGGTGAGTCCAAAATAATGGAAATAAATTAATTTTATAAAATGGAAGGAGAATTTTTTCTCAACTGTGGATCTTTGGATCTTTGTACTCTGTGGCAGAATCCTGTTAAAAATCTGAGGAAAAAGGTTCCTGAAAATGGGAAAGGTCTTCTATCAGTTATTTGCACCCATCGTTAACCAAGATTAGGCTCCTGTGGAAGTGTACCATGTGCAGGTTTGATTTCCTTTTAAAATTAGAACCCTTTTGCCCTTTGTTTGTCTGCTCGTGGTTCATCTGAAGATACAAAGTCTGTTACAGAAGGCAGGTAAGGAGATAAAATGGACATCACAAAATAGGAGAAAATAGACCATAAAGGAGATATACTGTAATATTGCAGCAAATGAGTATCTTCTTTCTAAAGACTTTATATGGCAGCTAGAGCTGCTAACATTATTCATGTATAAAGAAGATGTAGAAGTTTCCCAGAGCATCTTTAAGAGCATAGGCCATGTACTCTTCAAATAGCAAAAGTGCTACTGCCCTGTAAGAGAACACCATAACAAACATTTTTCTCTTTCAGTGTAAATACTGGGGATGGTTGGAGAAAGGTACCCAACAGTGCATAGCAAATAGTGACTCAAAATGAATGTTCCAATAGTGTATTTCCAAAAGATATTTCCAATTTTGAAAAGCAAAAATCTGAAGTAGAGGTGATTTGGATATGGATAAATATTTAAGTAGTAAATAGTTCCAGAAAGGAATATTGTATTAAGAAAATTTTACTGAAGACCTCTATGGATAAAGCCTAGTGAAAGCTAGAATGCCATAAGTTATTCAATTTGTTTGTGAAGTGTTGTCAGTTGCTGAGTGAAAAAGAAAGACGTTTAGGGCTTAGTCATAGTGATTCTTTTCCTTCTTGAAGTTAAGTAAAAGACAGGAAGGTTGTGTTTAGCAAAACAGTTATTGAGATCAAAATGATTTCTGAGTATTTAGATTTCACTTTAAAAGGTAAGTACTGTGAAATGACCACATTTTTTCAATAAACATTATTCTGTTCTTATCTGTGACATTTAATTAATTCATGACCAGTTTGTACACTCTTGCCATCTTATGTAAACTAGTGTAAAATTGAATGAAAACATCCAGCTAAAAGCTTAGAACCTTCAGGAAGATAGGAAGTTTTACTCTGAATGATTATGCTTGTGCCTGTCAGTTCTAAGGTATGTTAGATTATGTTTGTTTCTTGTTCTGACAGTATAGCATTTTTAAGTGCTCAAAATGCGTAAAACAATGCACAGTGCAAGCAGTACCAACAACCTTGGCCCTTTAAAGCAGTTATGTTTTCATTAGTGAAAAAATATGGTCATTAGAAGATGTGCTACTAAATATTGGCTTAGGTCTGCTGTGAGATTGGAGAATAGCAGTTTTGTTGTTCCACTGCAAATTCCTTGACTTGACTTGTCCATTAGCTGTTTGATGTTATGGTTATTTGAATTTCATTTCAGTAGCAGCACAATAATTTTTCCATTGGGTCTTTTATCATGATAAGTTTTTCCAGGTTGGAAAATTCACAGCGATAGCAGTCTCTACTTTTTGGATTATTGTTTTTTCCTAAGCAAGTGATCTGATAATCTCTCTTTCCTCCAGCCAGGATGATTTGTGCTACTGTGTAATGAGAGAAATCCTGCATCTTTGGCTATTCATGGGTCTGAAATACAGCCTGCTGCAGCTGATAAGGTATAATGGGTTTCAGTGAGCTTCAGCACCTCTGAACTGAACACAGCAGAGACCCAACATGACTGAAGTTTCCAAGTCCAACTGTAAGGTAAACCACTGTATAAGTAATTCTGTGTGTCTGTGTTATGTTGTTAGTTACAATGCCACGATGCTCCTTTTTTATATCTGAGGGTTCCTTCCATTCTCTAACATATGAGAAGAGTCTCACTGGATAATTTAATCAGGTAGAGTTAGAGTAGAAAACAAAAATTCATATAAAAAAGTCTGAAATCAACTGAGATAATGTGAAAAAATCCACACGAAAGGGTAGAATTTGCTTATCAAAATCCTTTACAAGGACTATATAGTTTTATTTTACGTATGTTTTTACATATATATATATATATTTACGTATATATTTTACATATATATATATATATATGTAGCAGAAAGAGAACTCATATTCCAGAAGGAGAAGGAAATAGCTGCAGTCTTTTAAACATCCTGTGACTTCTAACTAGAGGAAAGAAATACATATTTGTTTTTATGATTTTTTTTTTTCCAAAAGTTAAGGGAGAGAAGATTTTATATGGATATAACAGCTAGACATAAATTAAAAAAAAAAGATCCTGTTTTAGTAAGGAGTCCTATTATGTAATCTATGCATAGGAAAATGGTTCATGTCATTTTTCATTGGAAACTAAGTACAGTTTTGAAGTAGGTTCAAGAGATATTCCATGGTCTAGATTATTAAATGTTAGAAGATGTAATCAATTAATTCAGCTACCCACATGCATGGTAGAATAGGAAATGTTTGTTTAGATTCCAATTTATAGTTGTTTGTTTTATTATTTTACCCTCAGGAGGAAGCTTAAATGCTTAATTCTGCTGCTTTCCTAGTATTATACAAAGCACACAATAAAGCATAAGGCAACTTTGCCTGGTTTATAGTAGAACTTTTAATTAAACGTTTTTTCTTCGCAAACTGAATTTAAAAACAAAAATCAGCAGTAGGAGGCTTTAACTGCACAATGTTTCTTTTGAGTTACAGGCAAAAGCTTTAATTGGCTTTTATTGCAGGAGGATTCTATTGTAACCTCAGAGCCAGTGTTTGTAACCAGTATCAAAAGGGGTCCTTAGCACCACCAGGAGACTCATGACAGCTAACAGACAAGCACAGTGGAGTGGAGAAATATGCAAAGAACTTCTTGGAAACAATGTGATTAAGTGTGATTGTTCTCCGAGATCTAATGCATGTTTGTAACTTCAGCATTTATGCATAGCTTCTGTCTGAAGGCTAAGTATGCACCTTAGGTGGAGTGATGCCCTGTGCATCCAGCACCATTATAAAGAATGCTGCCTCTTTGTGCTACCCTGCTCACTGGTGTTAAGAGTTTGTTTTTTTCCTGTGGTTTTTTTTTTTTTTTTCCTGTGGCAATATCTTTATATCATTTATATCTAAGGTCTAACTTAATTTGTTGAGAGTTTCTTCTTTGTTGTCTTGTCACTTAAGCCTTTCCCAGATACTAACAAATTATCTCAGCAGAATTGTTGTCAGGGGAAATAATTTATTTGCACTTTATGGTTTGGAACAAGGCACATCAGAAGCAGTAAATACCTTTGTGGGTCTGGTGTTGTGTTCAGTGTTCTGTGAAGTGCCACCTCTGGTACCCAGACAGTTGCCTATGCCACGCAACTGCTGTTCTTGTGTTAATAGCTTTTGTGCTATTGGGATGTTACATTAGTAATCAGGCAGAAGAAATACAATTCAGTGAAAATTCAAACTTAATGGACTGAATTGTGCTTGGACTGCCTTAGTTAGTGTGTTGCAGTGTCTGCAGTCACAATTACATTTGATTGTGTGAAAAGTACATGAAAATTCAGCTTAGGCTGAATTTTGAAGCTACCTGTCCATTGTTTGGTCAAACAACGTATAGTATATATAGAGAATATAGACACAAGATGAAAGTCTTTCGCCTTACTTAACTTGGAAGTCCCAGATATATATCTGTGCTTTATTAAAAACGTAGCTGGAAAGATTTTGACTAGGGTGAAATAATACAGGCAAATAAAGCATGAGCCAGAGACAGTAATTTAGAAGCAGGGTACTCTGTCATGGGTGTTCTAGGAGCTGAACCAGGAAATATAGCCTTATTCCCCGAAACATGAGCCTAATTCTTACCACATCCCTAACCTAATTGTGCACACTGACCAGTTCAGCTGTGTTTCAGACAGACAGCTAAATGTCTAGGCATGGCTGTGGTTTTCTTCGTTTTGTTCAATCCAATGTGAGCTCAGTGCTTGATAGTGGACTTCTGGGTATGAACCTCATCTTCCAGTTTTTGCAATATCTGGATTTTCAAAAGGTTTCTTCTGGGTCATGAACACTATATTTCTACCATCCATTAATATAAAAAATGTTTGCATCCTTATTTCTAGATGAATTATTCACTTGTTAAAAAAAGATAGAAAAAAGAAAAAAAAAAAAGAATTAAATGTGTTAGAGATTTCAGCACAAAAGCAATAACCTGGATCCCTCTAGAGGCCATTTGTGTAATATTTGGTAGGGAAAAAGAATTAAACGTGTCTCTCAATTCTCTGTCCGCAGATAAAGGAAGCTTATCTATCTCCTATTACTGCATATTATCTTGCCAGCAGGTTTCTGTTGGGTGGTGAAAGCTGTGTAATTATTGTACTTGTGCTTCCTTAAACCAGCTCGTACCTTTTGCTGGGTAATACAGCAGTTTCATGGTACGTTAATTCAGAGTCTTAATTCCTCTATGCACGTTTCCTCAAAGATTGTTTTTTATAAAAATGAGCGTTTTATGCTAAGCACTAATCAGTGCACCAGAAGGAGAGGTTTCCATTTGCAGTAGCATTGTCAAGGAACTAATTAAACCGGACAGACAAAGGGATAGTATTGCTTTCCCATGTGGCCTTTGTGGGCTTGATTCTGATCTCAGGTATACTGACATTACTCCTCAGTGTTTGAAAAGTCAAATGACTGTAAAAGACACGACGGGCTGTCATGGTGAGGGGAACCTGCACGCAGTTAGCTGAGGTGCGAGTAGTCTGAGCAGAGAGGAACAGTCCAGCACAGCAGGGGGATGAACTGAACTTTCTAAACTCTTCTGGGATAAAAGCAGTCAGAGCATGATTAAAGGAGAGCACCTCACTGATGGTGAAACCCACACCACTGAACACTGTCTGTGAAGAAGTTTCCACATCAGATGCTTTCTGGGCCTGAGAGCGCTGTTACTGCAGTGGCTCATTCAGGACAGTCTGCTTACGGAGCTGTGCAAATTAACTTAAGCAACAGAGATAACCTCCATTTATCAGCAGTTCCTGTGAAAGAGCAGGCTGTAAATACAGGGGATGAAGTGCTGGCAATGTTCCATAATCTGTCCTGGATTGATTGAAAAGCTTTGCTACAAAAGCATCAAGCCAATTGAGGCAGCTAATCAGAAAAATCAGTGTTTTTATAATGATCTTGGCAAAATTAATTGAGCAAATTTTGCTGCTAGTAATGTTTGCACTTCATGTAATTTGAGTTGATGGTAGATAGGTAGTTTATAATTAATGTCCTCTAAAATATTTTTAAATTCAACTTTGATACTTGTGCTGTTTCTCATAAAAGTTTATCATTCCTTTCTCCTTTCTAGCAGTGTTATCACTATTATTCCACTAGATCATGTCAGGTGTTAGAAAATCAATTTTAATTTTTAATGAAATTAATGCCCAGAATGCTATACTTTTATACTTACTTCTGGCACAAAGCAAAGTTGTTTTTGATCATTCATTGCATGCAAAATATCCCATAGAATGCCATGAAATGTAATTTCATCCAGATGAGTGAGCACTGATGAGGTGCTTCTGAAGAAGTGTTGGATAAAATCACCATCCTTGTTCAACTTTGCGGCAGAGGTGACAAGTATAATGTTATGATGAAAGATAAAGATGTGGGAGAATACTCATAAAGGCAACTTACAAAACATTTTACGAAAAAGCAGCATGTTTTTATGCAGCATTACGCTATCTGGGAAAAAAATCTTGCATTCATTGTGCACTACAACATGCAAAAAAACATAGATTATGCATAATCTAGCTTGGTATCTGCACTGAGCCAGAAACTACTGATGGTAGGGAAGAGGTTTCAGGGGGCTTTGCATCATTCTTCACTCTGCTTTACCACTTAGCTAAAGTGCCACTTCAGATTTTTTGTTGTATACTTCTCCGTGGTAGAAGTTTCATTTCAAACCAGGAAGTATATCTGAAAGGAGCTAAGTTATCACTACATATTTTTAAGCAATGTAATTCTCTTGTTCTGGCTTGATTGACCAGGTAATTGACTTATCGTTGCTTACTTTTGGCTCCTTAATTAAGTAGGAAGCAATAACTCATCTGCCAGTAAGTGGAGCTCTTTGCTAGTCCAGGGCAGTCTTCACCAAGAACATTTTTTCTCCTTTTCCTTTTTTGTTCTACAAACTGTAAAGTTGGTATTTAGTTTTTCTTCAGTCCTTTTGCAACTTCCACATTATGTTCTACTTCTGTTCTTTATAAATCAAGCAGATTATAAATTAGTTTATTCCCATAGACATTTTTTTCCTTTTCTCTTTGTCAGCCAAATGTTGTATTCATTCACCCATCCCTTAAAATAAAGGGGAGCTCTTAATACTTTACTTTTATATTTATTTTAATTTCTTATTTTTTTAAGTATTGGTATTTTTAATAAAAATTGTGCGGATTGCTATACCAGGGATTTGGGGAAGATGGAATGGTTTCCCGTGCTTTTCAGACTGTGGACTCATTACCTACCAATGAACATTTGTAGTAATGATTCCTTACAGTGAAGCATGTCAACCCATTTGTACCATGATCTACTTTCTGGTGTTATAAAAGGATTACTGTGTGAGATGGTAAAGGGTCCATTTCCATGAGAATTGCTCTAAGAATCAGCTATGTTTTAACTTCTTTTAAATTCCAATCTATCTGATTTAGGAAGGATTGTTAAGGGAAACATAAAACTTTCCAGTCACATATAGTATGAAGAGAATGGTATTTATCCAAATGACATGTCAGGATTAGTTTTCTAACCTAAGCACTCAAATG